GAAGAGAAAATCTCATTTGCGGATAGAAATATGCAACTTTGTATGCTCTTTCCAGCTAGTAGTATGAGAACGCTTGATAGGACCAGATAAGGTCAGATTTCGCTCTTCTGGCACCCCTAAAAACGCGCCAATTCAGAACTTATGACCGAGGAAAAACCGTATTCGGAATAATTTTTCCATGGACCGACAGTGGCCTTTCCATACCTTTAGGAGGACTATTGATTGCATATAATCAGACCTTCCCGGCTTTAAGTCGTGTATAAAGTGGGCGGACCTGTGCGGAAGTACCCTTAATGAATTTTTGATCTTCTTTCTGCTGACCTACCTATTATTTTACTTGTTAATCTACTGTCAAAAATCTCGCATTACACAACTCATCAAACTAGAGTCACTAGGAATTTCGATGGTCAGACTAATTTATAATATGCAGTAGCATGGCTCAACATTATATTACATATATCGTAAAATTTTTTTACCGTTCTCTAAAAGTTACAAAATTAGATGAACGTTAGTATAGTATATTCTTTAAAGATTATATCTTTCTAAATATAAAGCTGGTTTGCGATATATAATATGTATTAATTTACAGATCCATAAAATTTAAAAAATAATGAACCGTTTACTGTACGTTACATAATGAAAAACCAAGAATACGAAAACATATAGACAAGAAAATAAATAACAATGCGTATTAAACCTTGTTCATGATGCAAATCGTTTACAGAAGATGTTGTTGTGGTGGGACTTGAACTTGGACTAACCTGTGACCAATCCAGTTGACTAATATAGGGCGAACGCATGGTACGATCATTGTTCAAAGCATGATAGACAATACGTGTGTACTGATCAGGACCCAAGATTATTGAATTATGTCCGGGTCCAATAATTATTCCATTGATACTATGAGTAATACGAGCTTGGGTGTCTGAATCTTCAACATAAGGGCCTAGCACATTAGACGACACACCGTAATCCACACCGTATGTTTCATCTTCCCATCTTCCTCCACTATAGAAACAATAATAACGCCCGTCCTGCATCCACGTGGCTGCTCCTTCAAGAGTGTACCAATCCCATGTGCCATTATACTGAGGCATATATCGATCTTTCGCAAAACGTTGCCAATCATGTTTAGCTCTCAAAACAACTCTTTCATTTCCACCTAACTTTGTCATATTTTCGAGTATATCAATAACAATGCCTGTTCCAACTCGATAACCATCGTTGGTATCAAGAAAATCTCGACTATAAAACAAATACCATTTACCATCAACGTCTCGAAATGCATGAGGGTCAATAGCAAACTGAAGTTTTGTTATATCGGTCAAGTCTTGCGCACCATCATCTCGATAAGGTCCTAATGGATTTGTCGATGTGGCTACGCGTAAACGATGAAGTTTGTCACCAATACCGCCTGAATAATAAAGATAAAATAGATTCTCATGAACAGCGACTTCGGGTGCCCAATAATCAGTAAGATTGGTATTCGTTCTAGGAATCATCACATATCCATAAAACTGCCAATGTTCTGCATCATTCGATATTAAAGTGGGGAAGAACTGTCCTTGATCGCTACCAGTACCAATCATGTAATAACTGCCGTTATATTCCCATGCAAAAGGATCTGCCAGATGTCCATTGTATACCGGTGTTTTTGGATAATTTGACACTGGTAAAGGTACCATCATACTATTGATAAAGGTGAGTGATATCAACAGGAATAGGTAAGGAAACATTATGTGTCTATTAGTCAAAGTATATAAAACTGGTTGAAACATCTATCTACAATATTCAGCATAAAACCATTGCAAAAAGTCTATTTTCATAGTGTAAAGATCGAACATATAACTCGGATGTAACAGCAGAAAGACCATTTTCCTTCCTCGTATTTAGTATATTGTGTTATGACTCGAAAAAGTCCAGTCATGTCTACTGGAATCGTTAATATAATCTAAAAGTTAATTTTAATTTAAGTATCCCTACTTATTAATGATTCATACAACATCTGTTGTTTCTTATTTGTTGATTTAACATACGTTATAAGCGATATTAAACGAGAATATTTTTTATCTAACGTTTTTTACATGAATTAAGTGTTTAAAAAATTCTTATCATCTTTAATTCAGGCGTCAACTTTAAACAATAAAACAATAAATATCTCTTGTAAACTTTAATTTAGCTTATAGTGTAATGTAATGTGTGATATTTTTTTATTTATATCAGCCTACATTGAGGTGAACGGGTAAAACTACTATATGACTTTGTAAACTAATATATGTGGGAATATTTCTCTCTAGAGAACAAAACAATACCGTTTTAGAAAAAGATTGTATAACTTTCCAGCTTTCACATCAGTCGAAAGAGAGCTCGAAGTATTTAACCTGGAATCCAAATGTTCATAAACTAAAACTGAAATCTTTCGGTAATACAAGTTTTTCTCGTGTCTTATTTCTAAAGAAGCGCTTATCAGTTTGTAAAGCAACGGCATCTAGTCTCATCTACTTGTCTAGCATATCATACGTTTTCTAAATAACGGTATATTTCCATCTTTCTGTTGGTTACTTATACGACCACTTAATTTATAAAAATGAGTCATCAGTCGGCGATATAATTATCTCCTTTCTCAAATAATGAGGTGCAAATAATATAAAAACAACAAAAGTTGTTTATGCGTTCTTTTTGTGTACTTTATTTGAAATTTGTAGATATTTGATTTTAAAACCAAGCTTATAACGTTGAAAAGAAAAATTGATAATCCCCTCCATTTTCTAGCTTATTTTTCGTAACAAGCGCTATGACACTATCGAAAGCCCTTATTTAATTGAAGCTATTTCTGTATGCACTGGATGAATGATGCCTGTGTTAATTCCTTCGCCAACTGGAAAGCAATACTCGCTTCTAATTAAGGGTACCATCAAACAGTGAAGCTCCCAAAATATAGAATTTGATAAAATTTCCGAAGTATGCTGAGCCCTACAAAGTATATATCAGCCAAAAAATTAAAGCATATCTACACAATTACACCCTATGGATATGATCAAATCGTAGAATTAATCTGAGAGATTTCAATCTTTTTTTAGTTTAGTCAGTTGTCAATAAGCAGTTGAACAACCGATCGATAACAAAACGCACTTCTATCCATCGATGAGTTTTCTTCTCTCATGTCAAATGACTCATTATATTTTCTCATTCCAGATAGAAAGAGATATGGATTCTCATGGAAAAAAAGTAGTTGTCTGTGATAATGGCACTGGCGTGAGTATCTTTATGTCTATCTCGCTCTTGGCTCATATTTGTCATCTCTGTTTTCCTGCTTCTTTAGTATATTAAATGTGGCTATTGTACTAGTAATTTTCCTGATTTCGTCTTTCCATGTATGGTTGGCAGACCGCAAATTCGTTCACGATCAAAAGTTCATGATATTGAAGTACAAGATATAATGGTCGGTGATGAAGGTAAGTTTCTTTATCATTGTACTTGAACAGTTTTGTTCTCAATAAAAGTGACATGTCATATTTTTCAGCACAAAAAGTTCGTCAAATGTTGGATATACATTATCCTGTTGAAAATGGAATTGTTCATGATTGGGATGACATGAAACACATTTACAACTATTTATTTGGTCCAAAAAAGATGAATATTGACCCAAAAGATTGTAAAATATTATTGACCGAGGCTCCATTGAATCCGGTTAAAAATCGAGCAAAAATGTTAGAAGTTATGTTAGACCAATTTCATTTTTCGGAAGTTTCATTAGCTTATCAAGCCATTCTGACACTATATGCACAAGGTATATTGACTGGTGTTGTGGTAGATATTGGCGATGGTGTTACACACATTTGTCCTGTTATTGATGGTTATTGCTTACAAAATTCAATTGCACGTTTAAATATTGCTGGAAGAGACATAACACGATATCTAATTAAACTGTTGTTACTAAGAGGAGTAAAATATACTTCTTTATTTAATGTTCATCTGCATTCATTCTTTGCTTTTTTTCTAGTATGTTTTCAATCAATCAGCTGATTTTGATACGGTTCAGCAAATAAAAGAAAAACTTTGTTATGTTGCACATGATTTAAACGAAGAACGTCAATTGGCACTGGATACAACAGTACTTGTTGAAAGTTATACATTACCAGATGGACGAACAATAAAATTATCTGGTGAACGATTCGAAGCACCTGAAGTTCTATTTCGTCCATCACTATTAGGAATGGAAGTGAAGGGTGTTGCCGAACTAGTATTTAAAGTTATAAATAGTGCGCAAATAGATGATCGAAAAAAATTATATAAACAAATTGTGTTGAGTGGAGGGACAACAATGTATCCAGGATTCGGAACAAGATTAGAGCGAGAACTAGAACAATTATATCATGAACGAATTCAAAAGGGAGATCCAGAGAAATCACCGGTATGACAGCAAGTGTTTCTATTTCAACTGAGATTCTTATATTGTTTCCTTCTGTTTAGAAAAATGTGATTCGTATCGAAGCTCCACCCCGTCGAAAAAATATGGTCTTTTTAGGTGGTGCTGTTTACGCTAATCTTGTTAAAGATACACCGGTACAATGGATTTCAAGGAATGATTATCATGAACAAGGTGCTGATAGATGTTTAGAACGTCTTAATAAAATTTGTCCACGTTAACATAACACTGTTTGTTTCGAATTCGTTGCCGTTCTAGGATATTCACTAACGTTTTACTTTGTATTTAATGGAAATGAATGAGTATGTGTTTTTTTCCTCTCAATGATGGCTTGTACCTGGTTTTTTGTGTATTGTTATTATATTTAGTGCAATCGAACACATTGTAATTTATTCCGTTTTTTTTACATATCATCGATACGTTCCGTTGTGTTATCTTGTCTTTTTTGAGATATAAATTGTGCTTGCTTCTTTTAATAATTATTTTGACCGTTTTTAAAAGCATCTAATACACGTAGATTTGGAATTTCACTTAACCGGCGGAGTTGGAAAAAATTAATCTTTTTCTATAAAGTGATCTCGTTGTGACTTATTGTTGTGCAAATCGGAACGAGTTGAATCCTAAAGAATCATGGAGTTTTAGTAATAGCACGAAGGCGAACACTGCGTAACATTGTCTACCAGACGTTGCCTTTGAAAGAGCGTAGTTAGTTGGACGTGGTATAATGGTCAAGCCTATTTCTGGAATATTAGCTTTGTGATCACTAAATAATCCAAAGAAAAGTAAGTGTGAAGCTTCGCTTTCGTTCGGTTTCACATTTATATGTGTTCAACGTAGACAAGAAACTGGAAAATATTGGAGTAAGATCAATGATTTGTCTTCAATTAGAAGAGACTACACTTGATGATGGTGATGATACAAACCGTATTACACCACTTGACAGAGGATGGGCTTTGCCAAAAGAGCGAAAGTGTCTCATCTGAATGAATCTCAGATACAATATCTCACTGAGAAGTTCGATGAGGATGTACAACAGAGAATTCGATGGAAACCAGAGGAAGTATCAGCTGAAATGCAACGAAAGAACGATTTGAGGGATAGATTCTATTTCACAGCGGCCGAGTTTTTAAAACCTGGCCTGATCAGATCGTTTTTTTCACGTTTGAAGGCGATACGTGAAAAGCAAACAGAAACAGTAGTTGTAGACTAAGTGGAGGAGGAAGATGACGATGAATTTGACGATAATCAGGTAGTTGAAGAGACTGAGCAAAGAAATAATTTAAGAAATTCAATGGGAATTAGC